GCCAGCTGAAACTCTACAGTGCAAAGAGGAAGCCATTTCTAAGCAAGTATGGAACACTGGGACGCCATGTCATCCGGACCAGAGAGGACAAGGATAGCCCAAGTTGTTATCAACGCTCCGTTCAGAAGCCTGCATCACTGATGGTATGGGGTTGCATGAGCGCTTGTGGCATGGGCAGCTTGCATGTCTGGAAAGGCACCATTAATGCAGAGAACTATGTTCAGGTTCTAGAACAACATATGCTCCCATCTAGACGTCATCTCTTTCAGGGAAGACCCTGCATTTTTCAACACGATAATGCCAGACCACATTCTGCAGCAATCACAACATCATGGCTACGTAGGAGAAGGATCCGGGTACTGAAATGGCCAGCCTGCAGTCCAGATCTTTCACCTATAGAGAACATTTGGCGCATCATAAAGAGGAAGGGGCCACAAAGAAGGCCCAAGACGATTGAACAGTTAGAGGCCTGTATTAGACATGAATGGGAGAGCATTCCTATTTCTAAACTTGAGAAACTGGTCTCCTCTGTCCCCAGACGTCTGTTGAGTGTTGGAAGAAGAAGGGGGGATGCCACACAGTGGTAAAAATGGACTTGTCCCAACTTTTTTGGGATTTGTTGACGCCTTGAAATTTGGAAACAACAGATTTTTTCCTTAAAATGATACATTCTCTCAGTTTAAACTTTTGATCTGTGTTCTATTCTGAATAAAATATTAGATGTTGGCACCTCCACATCATTGCATTCAGTTTTTATTCACAATTTGTTTAGTGTCCCAACTTTTTTGGAATCCGGTTTGTAGAATTTTTAATTCAATTTTGGATTTGACAGGGAGTCAATGGAGAGAAACTAAAACTGGAGAAATATGATCTCTCCTACTAACTCCAGTTAAGACTCTGGCAGCAGCATTTTGGATCAACTGAAGACGTTTTAAAGGAAGTTTTTGGACACCCAGATAATAAACCATTGCAATAGTCCAATCTAGACGTGACATATGCATGGACCAGTTTTTCTGCATCATTTTTAGATAAGATGTTTCTAATTTGGGTGCTATAGATGAAGCTTTTGTCCTTGGTTACTCATGACCCAGGAGAAATTTTATAGTCGGCACGTCTCAAGGGCCGTCGGAAGTCAGATTTAAATAAGCTTGATTACTGTTTTTCTTCAGGCAGAGATTACTTTTTTCCAGCCTTGAGTCCATCTGGGTGTTCTGGTTCCGAATATGCCTAATTGTGGGATTCCATTCCACTGATCCATGCTATGAGTCTCCTTCAAGGTCGAACCCACCACGCTGACGAGTCCCAGAAGCCGCAGGTGGCCTGCGATTCTCAGAAATCGCCTCCACCTTACGGTTAAGCTCGTAAACCACATGATTTAAAGTTCCTACTGCACGGACCAAACCTTCACACTGACTCGGAAGCTTTTCCATGGCCGAAACTGCTGCCGATGTCTTCTTCAAAAGTCGATAAAAAAGAGCCCCGCTGATGCCAAAAAGCAGAGTCCCTGCTATCGTAATTCCAAATATGTAAACGTCTTCAACATCCTCCTGAGACAGAACTGAGAGGCACATCAACTGCCACACTCCCCACGAATCCATGACGTACCCCACAGCGTGAGTCTCAGCTGGACACGCAGGTTCTCCAGGACCTTGTCGCTTTGATGAAAAAAATCTTATCAATAGAGTTAAACGCCCACGATACCAAATCCATAATCTTCTTAATTTATGTTCGGGAGGTGAACCAGGCACTTCAGACACACAGAGAGCAGAGCAGGAAGAAGGAAAAACAGGGGAGGGATGACAGAAGCAGCCACCTCGATGAGAGCCAGGGAGGGGAAAAAAAAAATAAAATAGACACAAGTCCATTATCAGAGGTCATAAGAATATCATTTGTGACTTTTACTAATGCTGTTTCTGTACTACATTGAGCTCTAAACCCTGACTGAAACTCTTCAAACAGTTTTGAGATGTAGGAGTTTTTGCATGGATGTAAACCTACTGTTTACCTTCTCTGCTCTCAGGCCAGTCTCCAGCTTTTTGTGGCCGTTCAGGCAAACTGCTCAAGAAGCATCACAACAGCCAGCGTGGGATGCTGATCGATGATTGGTCTCGTGCAGTCAAGGGCCTAAATGTGTCATCGTCTGTCAACCAGGCATCCCGCCTCATTGACTGCAGTGATCAGTGCTGGCAGTCTTCTGGCTCACAGGGAAAGGTAGAAAAATAAATTGTAATGTGTTTTTAATTTGACTGGTTTAATTGTAATACTGATGGATACTAACTGATGGACTTCGCTGTGTTTTTCTTGGCAGCACTGGATTCGTCTTGAGCTTTTTCCAGACGTTCTTGTGCACAGGCTGAAGATGGCTGTGGACCCATCAGACAGCAGCTACATGCCCTCACTTGTTGTAGTATCTGGTGAGATAAGCAGAGCGCACTGTCGTACTGTTGCACTTTCTTGTAGTTTAACTGAAATTTTTGTACAACTCCAAACCTAACAAGCAGTATGCCTATGCCCCCCATCGCTGAGGGATTCAAATAGCAAATGTTTGGGGGGGGGGCATCGAGCCAACATGAAGTAAAGACAGACTTTTCAGAGCTCCTGCGGGTTTATAAATATTTTGAGTTTAAATACGACAACTTCTTGCTAAATGCAATCTACACTGGTTTGATAATAACTTTGGACTTTAAAGAACTCTGGTTCAGTTAACGGTTATCGATAAATGGCGGATAAACTTTGTAAATTAAAGTACGACGGTAGCACATCAAAGCTAACAGCTAACGCCAGAGCCATGAGGCAACACGCTCCAGGAGACAAAGAAACACATCCTTAGAGCCCAGTCACGAGGGAGGAAATGAAAGTTCATATTTTAGCCTCAATGCGAGGCGAAATTTCCAAAATTATAAGAGAGGTAATGAGAAATGCACTGGCTGAAGAGTTCACCATTCTCAGAGCTGACGTCAACGCTATGAGGGCTGAAATAGTGAGCAATGCCACCGCTATCTGAACAGAAATTACGTCTATCACGACAGACGTTGAATATGTGAAAGGTGGACTGACAACATGGTCTGACGAGGTAAATACACTGCAGACTATCGTTTCTGAACTCCAGAGTGAGCTGGTCAAATTACGAGACAATTGCGAGGACATGGAGGGGAGGATGAGGCGCGGAAATATCCGTATAGTCGGCATCAAGGAGCAGCCGAACTCCGCCAGCCCCAAAGAGGTATCAAAAATTATTAAAGAAGCGCTACGGATAGACCGGGATGTAAAAGTTGACTGCTCACACCGAGCGACTGCACCAAAGAAAACGGGAGATGGCGAAAGACCCCGGGTGATCATCGCCAAGCTGCACAACTTCCGGCGAGCTGATGGACAGCAGCTCCCTCCGGCTTCTCTGCAGTCTTTTATCATCAAACTGACCCGTTTTTCGAACCGGACTAAAGTTGGTCCTCCTTCCAACCGAATTCGGTGTTCAGTGACTCAGAGAGCCGGACGGGACCGTCCAAAAAAAAAAAATAATAATAATATTTTGGCCCTGGACCGATCGGCCGCTCCCCCCCCATCGGTCACTCTGAGCGCACCCTGCCGGCCAGGTGACCCCTCGAGCTGGGGAGTCGACACACGAAGGTCCGGTGTTTTTTCTCTCTCTCCCTGGACCTCAACGAACTCTTATCTGGACCTTTGTGGTTCTACCTGGTTCCGACAAATATCGCCGGGTGGTATTTCGCTGGTTTTCAGCTGGACTGGCCCTCGTGGTGTTTCCATAGGTGTGGGGGAAGTGTACCTGTGACCCTCGAATTGGACCAGAACCGAATCGAGGTGGCTGTGGGGAAATTCGTCTTCTACAGAGCCGGTCTCAGCTTCAGTGAGCAGCCCGTTACTTTTACTGAAAGACGATCCACCTCCGTGGAGTCGTTGTGTTCACCTGGAGGAGACGCTCCGGTGCTTTGAAGCGCCGCCGGACCAGAGCAGAACCGCGCCGCCGGACTGGGCCGCCGGACCGGAGCAAAACCGGGCCAGGGATATCTTCAGCCTCTTCGTCTCTCGTGCTTGGAGCGCCGGAGCCGAACTGGAGCAGAACCGGACCGGACCAGTTGCCGACTTCAGCCTCAGCCTCTCCGGTCAGTCTCGCTTTTCACCGGGGGTGGCCCGTGCTGTCGGGTGCTGAGAAGCAGAGGAGCAGCGTGGAGGAGCAGCGTGGAGGAGCAGGGCTGCGTGGTGCTCGAGAGAAGTTCGGAGTTTGTATCGGAGCTGCTGCAGGCCTCCATCCAAACTCACCTGGACAATAATTAATTTTATTCCGGATCACGTTGTTGGCCCCTGTTGACCTGAAACGAACTTGGACCATGCCTTTCACTTCAGGAGGATTTTCTGGCAGCTCGTTCTGCTATTTGCTGCGAATTTTCAGTTTCTGTTTCGGCCTGTTGATTCTGGACCCAGCTTCTGTTTCTCATGGGAGCATCCATCCATCCATCCTTCTTCACAGGGGAGCCGGAGCCCCCCTCAGCCTGACTCAAACTGCAGTTGGGCCACCTCGTCGGGTTTGTTTGCCCATTTGAACTGTGACATTTTATGGTCTGAATCTTTTCTGCATCATTCATATTACTGTCACTATTTTCAGTTCTCAGATTATCTGGAGTCACTGAATCTTGTTAATACACCTGAATCTGTCCATCACTGCAACTTTCACTGTTTTTGGGTTCTGAATGATCGCGTCTTCATTAATATTTCTCATGGTTCGATTATGGGGGCTAATTGTCACACTGTTAACTGCTGTAATCACACATCAGTCACAAAAAACTCAAGAAAATGTCTGATAATAATGTTGTTATTGCTCTCAGGAATTCAACCCAATCCTGGACCCCCCACTAATTACAGCACACCAAATGACTTTAAAAATGCCTCTGGGCTTCATTTTCTGCATGTAAACGCTCGTAGCCTTCTGAAAAAACTTGATGCTGTGAAAATCCTGGTCAGTTCTTCTGGGGCTGATGTTATCTTTATTTCTGAATCCTGACTCAACAAATCTGTAATGAATAATGACGTGGCAATCAATGGATTTAACATCTACCGCTGTGATCGTCAAAAAAGGGGGGGTGGAGTCATTATTTACATTAGAGATACCCTGGTTTCAAGTCTTGTGACTTTCAAAACAATTCCAAACCAGTTTGAAGCCTTATCTGTAAACATCACCTTGAATGGAGGCCAGGTTTTAACTGTAGTCTGCTGCTACCGCCCCCCCACAGCTTCACCTGAAGCATTAAATGCCATTAAGGAATTCCTTGGTAATTTAAAATTCACAGAGGTCTTTTTAGCTGGAGATCTCAACATTGATTGGTGTAAGTCGACCCCCCTCTGTGACAAATTCAAGGAATGTTGCTTGTCTTTTAATTTAACCCAACTGATCGACTCCCCCACCAGATTAAATAAAAGCCATACTGACAATTCCTCCATCTTAGACCTGTTTCTAACTAATATGCCTTACAAATTCCCTGGTACAGGTGTATTCGCTGATCTTTTGAGTGATCATTGTGTGACAGCGGCTTTAAGAAATAGTAAACTTCCACCTTCTAAGCCCAGATTAATTAAAAAAAGGGATCTGAAACATTTCTGTGAACAGTCATTCCTCTGGGATCTGTCTCACTTTGACTGGCATCGTATTCTGTTAACTGATGACGTGAACTCTGCTTGGAACTATTTCCATAATAATTTCATTTATTTTGTGAACATACATGCTCCTTTTCGTCAGTTCAGAATAAAGGGACGAGACAGCCCCTGGTTTACTCCAGAGCTAGCTGACCTCCTGCACAGGAGAGATCATCTTTGGGCCGCAGCGAGAAAATCTGACTCAGACACTGATTGGTTGAGTTTTAGACAGATGAGGAATAAATGTACAACTGCTGTCAAAGCAGCAAAACACAACTATTTCTTATCTCAGACCTCCAAAAATCTAAATGACCCTAACAGATTCTGGAAAACCATCAAATCTCTCTCAGGCACCCCCCAATCATCTGACCTCCCATCACAACTTCTCGTTAACTCTGCTCCTGTGTCAAATAAGCACGAGATCCTGAACTGTCTCAACAAACATTTTGTTGCTTCTGGTTCTTTATTTGACACAGTTACTAATGGAAAATCAGCCACTTCACTTAATAACCAAACTTCTACAAATCAAATCCCTCCTACAAGTCAATCCTCAGTTAATCACAGCTTCTCTTTTTCTCCATTCTCAGTCAGTGAGGTCAATAAACTGTTAAAAGATCTTGATCCTAAAAAATCTGCAGGTCCAGATGAACTTCCACCTTATTTCTTAAGGCTGGCTGCTCATATCATCACAGTCCCTGTGACCCACATCTTCAATCTCTCCATAAGACAAAACTCCATCCCAGACACTTGGAAAACAGCCTTTGTTCTTCCTTTGCTGAAGGGAGGTGACCCCACCTCACTGAACAACTATCGACCAATCTCTAAACTCTGCATTTTAGCCAAGGTTCTAGAAAAACTGATAAACTCTCAAATCAAAAATTACCTGGACTCATTTAACATCTTACCTCCACATCAATCTGGTTTCAGGAAACAACACAGCACAACCACTGCTTCACTGAAGGTTCTTAATGACGTTGTTGAAGCACTGGATGCTAAGGATTATTGTGCTGCACTTTTCTTAGACCTGTCTAAAGATTCTGACACTGTGGATCAGAACATCTTGTGTCATAAACTCTCAGAAACTGGTTTCTCAGATCACACCATTGGTTGGTTCTCTAACTATCTTTCAGACCGGAGGCAATGTGTTCAACATAATGGTACTTCCTCCAGTTATTTAACAGTCAACAATGGTGTACCACAAGGCTCAGTCTTAGGACCCACCCTCTTTACAATCTACATACATAATGTAGGTAAAAACATCCCTAATGCATCCATACATTTCTATGCTGATGACACAGTTGTTTATTGTCGAGCTAAAACAGTTGCTAAGGCTTTCCAGCTTCTGAAATCTGCATTTAACTACATCCAGACTGATTTGTTTCACCTCAAACTTGTCCTAAATGCCGAAAAAACCAAAGGGATGCTTTTTTCAAATAGGAAGTTGGTCCCAGCAGTTCTTCCGCCGATATTATCCTCAAATGGTGTCCCCATTGAGTTTGTTGATTCCTATAAATATTTGGGTATCTTGGTCGACTCACATCTTTCTTTTAAGCTCCATGTGGAAAACTTGGTAAAGAAACTGAAAATTAAACTGGGTTTCTTTTTCAGAAACAGATCCTGTCTAACCCTGAATGCTAGAAAACGCCTTGTATCTGTGACTTTCCTTCCCTCAATTGATT